TGAGGATTTCGGTGGATCTGTAGCTGCATTTGGCCGAAGGAGGGGCCAAAGGAGGTCCATGAGAGCGTTTTCGGTGGCATGCATCTCTAAGTTCTGCGGCCAGCCGATTGTGCGCATGCTTTGAAAAGAACGCTTCTGTGTGTATCGTTGTCATTCATTGCTGTCGGCTCAAATATATGTTGGACCCCTCCCAGTGGGGCGAGCGCGAGCATGGGCGCTGAAGCCCCGTTTGCCCCAAAACGGCGGGTCGAACTATTTTCGGCGCGCCCGAACTATAGATCGACCCGCAGAAAAGTATAACCCCCGCATTATAGTTCGACCCCGCACTATAGATCGACCTTGGAGTCTCAAGGCGGGACCCGGGACCGGCGCGCGACCCGGCACTCCCGACCCGGGACCGGCGCGGGACCCGGGACGCGGCACCGGCGCGGGACCCCGGGACCCGGGACCGGCGCGAGACCCGGGACCTGGGACCGGCGCGGGACCCCGGACCCGGGACCGGCGCGGGACCCGGGGGACCCCGGGGGACTTGGGACCCGGGACCGGCGCAGAACCCGGGACTCAGGGCCCGCGACTCGGTACCGGCGCGCGACCCGGGACCCGCGACCTTGCGGCGCGGGATCTGGGACCCAGGATCGGCGCGGGACCCGGGACTCGGGACCGGCGACCCGGGACCCGGGACTGGCGCGAGACCCGGGACCGGGGACCGGCGCGGGACCCGCGACCAGGACCAGCGCGGGACCTGGGACCGGCGCGGGACCCGGGACCCGGGACCCGGGACCCGGGACCCGGGACCCGGGACCGGCGCGGGACCCCGGACCCGCGCGGGACCCGGGACCCGGCCGGGACCAAGGACCGGCGCGCGACCCGGCACTCCCGACCCGCGGGACCGACGCGGGACCCGGGACGCGGCACCGGCGCGGGACCCGACCCTGGACCGGCGCGGGTCCCGAGACCCGGGAACGGCGCGAGACCCGGGACCCGGAACCGGCGCGGGACCTGGGACCCGGGACCGGCGCTGGACCCGGGACCTAGGACCCGGAACCGGCGCGAGATCCGCGACCGGGGACCAACGCGACACCCGGGAGACGGGACCGGCGCGAAACCCGGGACCCGGGACCGGCGCAAGACCCGGACCCGGACCGGCGCGGGACCCGGGACCCGGAACCCGGGACCGGCGCGGGACTCGGGACCCGGGACTCCGAAACCCGGGACCGGCGCCGGACTCCAGACCGGCGCCGGACGCGGGACCCGCGACCCGGGACCGGCGCGGGACCCGAAACCCGGGACCAGCGCAGGACGTGAGACCCAGGACCCGGGACCAGCGCGAGACCTGGGACCCGGGACCGGCGCAGAACCCGGGACCCGTGACCCGGGACCGGCGCGGGACCCAGGACCCGGGACCCGGGGCTCGGGACCGGCGCGTAACCCAGGACCTGGGACCCGGGACCGGCGCGGGACCCGGGACCCGGGACCGGCTCGGGACCCAGGACCCGGGACCCGGGACCGGCGCGGGACCCGGGACCCGGGACCTGCGCGAGACCCGGGAAGCGGGACCGGCGCGAAACCCGGTGCGCCGGTCCGGGTCCAGGGTCCTGCATGCGCCGGTCCCGGGTCCCGGGACCGATGAGACCTCGCGCGCCCCTCTTGGGACTCTCCTGAAGCCCATTTTGGTTTCTCTGGGACCCCTCTTGGAACCCTCGTAAGGCCCGGTTGGAAATCTCTTGGAGCCAGAAGAGCCGACCCAGACAGTGTGAGAGGGCTCTCGAGGGGCACCAGGAGTGGGACAAGAGGACCCCAAGAGGGCTCCAGGAGGAGCGCGCCAGGTCTCATCGAGAACAGCGGTTCGATGAGACCTGGGCCTCCTTCTCTTAGAGCCCTCTTGAGGCTATCTTGAAGCCCTCTAAGGGCTCTCTATTAGCCCCTAGACGGGGCCAGGACAGGGCGGGCCGGTCCTCGAGGAACGACGAGACGCTCTCGGAGGAGAAAAAAAAGGATCAGGAGAGGAAGCACGTTTTTTGCCACAAAAAAACGAATTTGGGGGAACAAAACGTAGAGCAGGAGGAAGAAGAGGAGATGAGGGAGGAGTAGGAGGACACCGAGGCGGGAAAGGAGGAGCGGAAAGCGCACGAGAAGGAGGAGGAGAAGGAAGAGGATGCGGGAGGAGGAGGAGAAGCAAGAAGAGGAGGAGTAGGAGGATTAAGAGCGCCCAGGATCGGCGGCACTGGCCGGAGGCCACTACAATAAAAGCATGTTGCCTCTTCCTTCATCAGCAGTGCCGCGTTCGTGCCACGATGATTGCACATCCTCGTCGTCTGTAGGCAAGGGAATCCGAAATTCTGACCTACAGGGCAGAATATATGAAGTAAAAGATGAACTGAACATGATGGCGTTGCCATGTCGCAGCGTTTGAGCTAATCACGGGCGGAGGGGAGAGGAGGAGGAGGAGGAGGAGGAGGAGGAGGAGGAGGAGGAGGAGGGAGGAGGGAGGAGGGAGGAGGAGGGAGGAGGAGGAGGAGGAGGACGAGGACGAGGAGGAGGAATCGAGGCGCAGCGGGTCGGATGCGGGGGCGGCCCCGCTGGCCCGCCGCCCCCCAGCTGCGCGGGGCACCGCGCGCCGCCGCTGCGGAGGGTGCGGCCAGGGAGGGCCGCTCGTGCCGGGGGCCTTCCAGGGCGCCCCTCGCGCCACTCGCAGCCGGCCTCGAGCGCGCCCCCATCCCGGAGATTGACAAGCCAAGAGTCGACGGCAGTCTTGAGATTAACAAGCCAAAATGTCCATTATTCCCTTCCAGAGATGCTTTCCCCTCGCTCCTCCTTCTCTTCCACGCCCTCCCCCATGAGACCGCGCCCTCGCGCGCGGAATGCGAGATTGCCGCGCCCGCATTGCACGAGGAAGCTGTCAACGACAATCTTAAGGATGCGCCCTCAGAAACGGAGGGACACCCTAAGATCGGCATGGAGATGAGGCGATGCCACTCATATGGGGCAGGGATATGTTCCGGGCTGGTGAACTCGTGCGTCGAAGCTGCGTCGAGCGTCCGTCGATATCGAGCCGACGTTGAGTCTAATCTGAGTCGAGCGTGAGTCGAAGTGGGGTCGAACAGATCCGTCAGGTGGGCCCCAGTAAGGTCCCCGAAACGAGCACCTAACCAAGGGGTCGCGCTCACGGGCAAAAATATGTCACATGAATCCCTTGCAAAATATACCACTCAGGCCACACGTGCGCACAGGTCGAAATCATACCAAACACAATAGGTCTGCAAGGATTTCAACATATTACTCCGACGCTAGGACCCCACATGATGATATCCGTGGTAAAAGTTGTGCGTGGCAATCGAAGGCTAACGATGGAGATGCTGCTAAGAGATGCCAGCATGCCACGACGCCAGGATGCCAGAATGCCAGAACATCAAGATGCCAATGTGCCAGGGGATGCCAGGGTGCCAGGATGCCAGGCGGCCAGGATGCCCGGATGCCAGCATAACAAGATCCCAAGATGCCAAGAATGCCAGGATGTGCCAGAATGTCAGAATGAGGCCGCAGGCTCCGAAGAGAGCCCAAAGCGGCACAAGACGACCCCAAGACGGACCAAAAGGACCCCAAGACGGCCCAAGAGGCTCCCAAGAGGGGGAACACCAACCGACACGTCGCGCCTTCCGCCCCAGAAGGCCCCAAGGAGGCCCAAGAGGCGCTCAAGAAGCACCCAAGAGGCACCCAAGAGGCCTAAGAGAGCTCCAAGAGCACCCCCACGATGGCACGATGGCCCCAACAGACCAAAGCGTCGTCGTTGTCGTCGTCGATGTCGTCGTCTTCGTCGTCGTCGCCGCCGTCGTCCTCGTCGTCGCCCCCCTTCAGGGTCGGCGGCGCCAACCGTAAGGCCTTCGCAAAATACGCATCACAGTGAGCGCACTGCATACCTCGCACCGCCTAGACGGCACCACATCCGCCACCGTGCCTAAGGCGCTGAGTGGAGCATCCTCGAGTGAATTCGAGCTCCCTATCTCCTCGGTACCTCAAGAAGAGTCCGAGACTCCCATGCTCTGGGCGCTGTTGGGCGCTCCTTGAGGGGCCTGTCTTCCACCACCACCACCATAAGTTGGAAGGGGAGCTGGAAGAGGAGGAGGAGGAGAGGGAGGAGGAGGAGGAGGAGGAGCAGGAGGAGGAGCCCCTCCCCTCCTACTTATGGTGGTGGTGGTGGTGGAAAACAAGCCCACCACTCCTAGCAACTCTTGGGGCGCTCCTGGGAGTCCCCGCGCGACTGTTCCAGAAGCCTTCGGAGCGCAGTTTCGAATCCACACGTCCAAATCATCGGCATAGCGCCCCTGGCCTGCTGGACAGGAGCTCTGTCCAGGCTGAGAAGGAAGAGTACCGGGGGCGCGCAAACATGGATTAGCGATCCATGGATTTGGCGCGCGGTCGCCATATCCATGGATCGGGGGAGGTGCCCTCCTCAAAATGCGGCCAGCGCCGCCTCGCTCGGCGGCGGAAACCCGCGATTTCCAATGGAAACAGGACCCGTCGCAAGTCCACGCCCTCTTGATCCATGTTTGCGATCGCCTGAGAGTAAAACAAGGTTGACGTCGCCACGCTCGGTATCGTCGGAGCGTGGTCTTCAACCCTGGCTCACGATGGTATCACGGCGACCTCTGGGGCCCTCCTTTGAGCACGGTCCCAGCATTCCTCTAGGCCTACCACGACATGCTCTCAGAACCCAAAAATGTCCGAAGAACGAAAACAAAGTTCTTAGAACAACAACACGATGGGTTAGAACAAGACAATCTCGGCCAGGCATGTGATAGGAACCGCTCGTGCAGACCGTACGAAATGCGTAGAACATTATGTGGTGGGCCTATCGGAAAGCCAAGACGTTTCGCCACTGCTGGACTCCTGGGGACGTCTTGTTTTTTCGACCGCGCGGGCGGCGCAACTCACACGCCAGCGCGTTAAAATACCCACACGAGACTGCCGCTGCGTGTGGAGCAACCATAGGTAGTTAAATGGATTTTCTTAGATGCACCATCTAATACAATAACCATTCAACATGGCCCTCACAACTCTCCGAAAACGAAGCCGAACCTCTCGATGTCCTTCGCCCAGATCTTAGCGACCCGATCGCGGAGCTCATCATCGAATAGGGCGACCGTGCTTAGGCGTGTGACATTCCCGCCATGAGTCACCCAATGCTGCCTGACCCTGCTGTCGTTCGGGTCGACACAGCTCTCCTGCCCCACTCCCAGGAGAGAGCAGATGTGCTTGAAGCTACCAGACATATCCTTGACCCTGCCCACGTAGGTCACCACCTGCTCCTCCTCCGACTTGCCTGGAGGAACGGCATAGGCAAACTCTGAGATGGAGTGTAAATAGTTGAACACATGAATGCCTGACGGCGTGGTGTTCGCGGGCAGGTGCGCGTACACAAATTTACGGAAATCCCGGATCTGCTCGTCGGGCTTGGAAGAAGCGTTGAAACCGTTCAACCAGGAGGTAGCAGACACGATCCGGCTCCATGGGTCCTTGGCCATTACCCACGAGACCGACGAGTTGAATTTGTTCCACCCCACATCGCCGATGACCTTCTGCGCGATCCCGTGGTGGTCGTGGTCCTGCCCAGCGTTCTTGTGGGCCTTACCATTGCGTGTGCAGTTGATGCCAGCCTCCTTGAGCGTCAGGACCACCGCCTGCGTCACGGTGCAGGTGCCAGTGTGGGCCGGCATGGCCATCCGAAACGGTTTCTCGTCACACCCCCAGTACGCGGCGGGGACGGCGGCGAGTTCGCTGCCCAGGCTTGCATAAAGAAGCGCGGCATCCTGGCGCGCGGCAAGCTCGCCGATGCGCTGCCGCACATCCGGCGTGGCGACATCCGGCGTGGCGATGTGGATCGCGCCAGCCGCCAGCCAGCAGCAGACGAGCACCACGAGGGGCGGCCGATCCATCGGGAGAAGGCACGGACGCAGAAGACAACTACTCGGTGGACGGAACGAAAGTGCACACTGGAGTACGCACGGGCTTCAGCCAAAATGGCTTGAGCCAAAATGGCTGCGGATGGACTCCTGGGGACGTCTTGGGCCCTCTTGAAGCCCAGGGGGGGGGGGCTGGCCCTCAAGGCTCAACAAGTCGGGAAAAAACACTGCAGCGGTGCTATGATTTTCGCGCACGAAATCGCCACAGGGTCCCAAGACAATCCAACAGGGCCCAGGGGGCCCAGGGAGGCCCCCGAGACGGCGTCCGCAGGCGACAGACGGCCCAGGAGCGCCAAGGCGGCCCAACAGAGCCTCAAGACGGCCCAAGAAGACCGTCCACGCCCCGTCCCCGCAGCAGAACGGAGGAGGGGAAAACAGGAAAAAACATAGAAAAAGCATGTGTTTGCATAAGGAAGAGCACGAAAAAGCTGCGAAACCTGTAATTGTCGTTGTTTTTCAAGGTGTTCCTGTTTTCCCATGTGAAAAAAAGAAAACAAAATGTTTTGAATGTGTTTCCTATTTTTCCTTGTTCCTCCTCCCTCCCCAGAGCGCCCTGGGGTCTCTGAACGGTCCACGCCCCGTCCTCGCAGCAGAACGGAGGAGGGGAAAACTGGAAAAAAATGAAAATAATGAAAAACATCATGTTTTCACATGGGAAAACACGAAAAAGCAGCGAAACCTGTGACTGACGCGGTTTTTTTTTCAAGTTGTTCCTATTTTCCCCTGTGGAAACACAAGATGATTCCTCTTTTTCCCCACATCCAAAGTGGGGTTCTTTTCTCTGGACACCCCGCGCAGGAACAGGAACACACACACACACACACACACACACACTCACACTCACTCACACTCTCTCATCATCAACCTCATCAGCATCATCGATGATGCTCTCTCACATGCTTAGTCACTCACATAACTCCTTCCTTCATCCTCCTCGGGCACCTCTTTCACACGATAGAACATCATTACAGAAACGGTCGACTTGACTTGATTGAAGATCTGAACTTGCGCAATCTTCATTCACCCCTCATCATCGGCACCACCACTCACCATCATCATCATCCTTCTTCACCAACTATCTTTCACCCCATCATCATCTTCCTCATCCTCGTCGAGTACATGTGAGGAAGTTCAGGCGGGGTGAAGCCCCCTCTATGGGGCCCGCGATCTGTTGGACCTCCGAGCGGGTCATCGGAATCCTGTACCTGTCGTCACTTTTGGGCTCCTCAAGCCTGAATTTGGAGGAAGTCTCAGGCGGGAGCCTCGTCTGTGAGTGAATTCTGAGGACGGTTCAGGCGGGAGCCCCCTCCCTATGGGGCCCGCAGATCATGTTGGTAATCCGAGCGGGTCATCGGAATCCTGTAACTGTCGTCACTTTTGGGCTCCCCAGGCGTGAACATGGAGGAAGTCTCAGGCGGGAGCCTCCTCTGTGAGTGAATTTTGAGGAAGGCTCAGGCGGGGGCCCCCTCCCTATGGGGCCCGCAGATCATGTTGGTAATCCGAGCGGGTCATCGGAAGCCTGTAACTGTCGTCACTTTTGGGCTCCTCAAGCCTGAATATGGAGGAAGTCTAGCGGGATCCTGTCTCTGAGTGTCCTTGATGAGTAAGTCTCACGGTGGAGCTTCCTCCTATGGGGCGGGAGCCGATAATGTTGTAATCCGAGGGGTACATCGGCAACCTGTACCAGTCGTCCCTATTGGGCTCCTCAAGCCTTGAATATGGAAGAGTCTCATGCGGTTTAGTCCAGGGAGCGAGGGGAAGCAGCTTGCGGAGCGCGACTGGGCTTCGTGCTGTCTTCCGCCTTGAGCGCGGCTGCTCTTGCGCTCCGAAGCCCGCGGGGTTTTTCCCAAACTGCTTGGTCTTGCGCGCACGGCTCGCGGGGTGCGTGCGGAAGCCAGGGCCCCGCGGGGTTGTCCCAACGGCTTGCGCGCGTGACCCGTTAGAGAACGCTCCTGTTGCTGGCGTGGAGGCGCCGGCGACGGCGGCACATACGACACGCGGCTCATGCAACCGACGGGGGCGGCGGGTGGCGGGGCGCGGAACAAACAGGGGGGCGAGGATGGGGACAACGCAAGGAGTGGAAGGGGGGCCCGCGCCAAGGCGACAGGACATATACGCAGAAGAGACAGCCAGGACGCCTCACCAACCACGAGGACGACGGTGATGGTTTTTTCCCAGATTCGCCCAGAGGATTATTATGTGGGGTTCTTCCGTCGGAGTAATTCCTCTTTTTCTTTTTTCCTCCTCCCTCCTTCTGAGCGCACCAGGGTCTCTGAGCGGCCCACGCCCCGTCCCCGCAGCAGAACGGAGGAGGGGAAACCAGGATAAATATAAAAAGTATGAAAACAATATGTTTTCACATGGAAACACAAGAAAAAGCAGCGAAGCCTGTGACTGTCAAGTTGTTTCATGTTATTCCCTGTGAAAACAAAAACGTTTTTCGTAGTTGTCCTCTGTTTCCTCTTTTCCTCCTCCCTCCCTTGAGCGCCCTAGGGTGTCTGAGCCGTCCACTGAGGGAATACATGCGTAATCCGCCACAAAGAACGTCAAATTGCAAGTCCCCACAAAAGGAATTTAGTTATAATCCGCAACAGAAGGAAACCAAGTGCAATCCTCCACACAAGGAAACCTATTGCAATCCCGCGCAAAAAGAATCTTAGTGCAATCCTCCACAAAAGGAATCAATGTGTGACCCCCCACGAACGGAATCCCATTGCAATCCCCCACAAAAGAAATCCTAATGTAATCCTCCACATGAGGACTCAATGTGTAATCCTCCACAAAAGGAATCCTAGTGTAGTCCTCTACACAAGGAATCCTTTTGTAATCCACCACAACATGAACCCTATTGTAACCCCCCACAAACGGAATCCTAGTATAACCCTCCACAAAAGAAATCATGGTGTAATCCTCCGCAAGAGGAATCCTATCGTAATCCCCCACAACAGGAATCCGATTGCAATCCTCCACAGAAGGAGTTAATTCGTGCCCCTGCACAAGGAATCCCATTGCAATCCTCCTCAAAAGGAATCGCCGCCAAAAAGGTAATCGCATGGCGAACATATCCAAAGAGAAATCAATGCCATCCAAGAGGAAAAGAGAAAAAGGGGAAGGATGATGAGGAGGCGAGAGCGGGGAGGGAGGCGTCGTGAAAAGTTCCGGAACTCTGCAAACATGTTCGGGAGGTCAAGCGGGATGGGAGACGAGGATGGATGTGGGAGAGAAGAGGGAGGTAGAGGAGGAGGAGGAGGGAGGAAGGAAGAGGATGAAGAAGAGGAGGCGGGAAGTCTCGGGATGGAACAAGGCAAAAGAAAGGGAAAGGGACAACGGCGCGCACGGCTGAAGGTGAAGGATCAGAAAGGTAGCGCACAGGACAGCAGTAGCGATAGTGCCGCACTCAATGCCCACTCCATGGCAGTACCACTTCACACTGTATCGTGGCACAGCACACCGCCCATATTCAAGATGTAATATGAACTGTAATGCACTCTTCCCACACTCTACAGCGCATCTGTCAATATTCGTCTTACCACTAATAGTCGTGGTAGTAGCGGTAGTGGTAGTAGTGGAAATGGTAGTGGTAGTAGTAGTAGTAGTAGTAGTAGAAGTAGTCGTGGAGGTGGTAGTCGTATTGTTCGTAGTAGTAAAAACCGTTGTTATGGAAGCTGCAGTAGGGTGTAGTGCGCAGTACACAGGAGTATCAGGAGCATCGTCATTGCCGACAGTGCGAGCTAGCTTACAGGGGGCAATGACACGACCCTTGTTGCGCAGTGGGAGCCCAGGAGGGAGAACAGGACTGAACCCGATAGGCATGCCAGTAGCATGATACTGAGATTGCGTGCGTTATGGACGCAGATAATCATGATGATATGGGGAAAGCTTATGACGATGGCGGGGGTGATGATGATGATGATGGCGACGGTGATGCCAGCGACGAACGTGCTGATGATGATTAGGGGGGAGCATGCAGTTCTGCTCTTGTTTATGAAGATGCGGGTGATGGTGATGATGGCGGTGGAAATGATGATGAATGTGTTGATGAGGTTTAAGACGATGATGATGAGAGTGGTGATGTACATGATGATTGTTGTGGTGGCGGTGGTTGCGGTGCAGGCGGTGGTGACGATGGCCACGGGGAGGAAGAGGAGGGTGGGTAAGCATGATGAGTTTCGAAGAGGCAACATGTGAGAGGCGGGGCGAATGGGCTCTGAGCAAGGCGAGAGGAGGATGTGGCGGGGATGATGATGATGATGGTGATGTTGATTCCAATGATGGACGTGGCGGTGGCGACGATGGTGATCACGACGAAGAGGAAAATGAATAAGCATGATGATGAGTTCTGAGGAGGGCGGTGGACGCAAGTGGGCGGCGTGAGGATGATAATGATGAGGAATACACGGACGATGATGATGGGCATGGGGGGGGGGGGGGGGGGATGCTTCTGATGGGTGGTTGTAGTGCTTGTGGGTTGTGGCGATGGTCACACTGGGGCTTACGATCAGGATGAGGACGAGGCAGGGTAATCATGATGAGCTCTGAAGAGAGAGGGCGGAGGAGGTGATGGTGAGGATGATGATGACGTCGATGATGATGATGACGACGATGATGATGACGATGACGACGACGATGACGATGACGATGACGATGACGATGATGATGATGATGCGATGTCGATGATGATGGTGATGACGGCGATGCAACACAGCAAAATGAGGTGGTACACACACACGGTTTTGTCAACTCCACCCGCAAGGTTGACCAAACCGTGCGTGCGTGTACCACCTCGGTTTTTGGTAAATTACTTCTTCAGTACTTGCTTTCCCTTGGCTTATTCTTTTCGTCATCTCTAAAGGAATTGCTCAAAGTAGCGAGATACAGAATGATTTCTTTTGTCGCAAACTACAATTTGATTCATTTTTGTTGCGTATTACAAAGGAAATCCTTTTGTGGTGAATTACAAACTGGTTTTTTTTGGTTTTTTTTTTTTTTTTTTATTTTTTCTTTATTTTTTTGGGCGGTTTCCCCGGGATTCCTTTGGGCGGATTCCACGGGATTCTTTTGT